ACTATACTACTACTACTACTACTACTACTACTACTACTACTACTGATACTACTACTACTGATACTACTACTACTACTACTACTACTACTACTACTGCTACTACTACTACTACTACTGCTACTCCTACTACTACTCCTACTCCTACTTCTATTACTACTACTACTACTACTACCACCACTTCTACTACTACTACTACTACTACGACGACGACGACTACTACTACCCCTGCTGTTGTTGCTACTACTCTTTGACGCAGCAAAGTAGTCCTTGCTCTGCACCGTAGCTTGGCAGGGTCGGCACCCTGGCACTTCGTGCGATCCATCCTGTTGTGAATCCCTCATCATCACCTTCCCAAACCCTCGACCCGAAGGTCCGACGAGCAGGGACTGCAGCTCCTACGGAAAAAACATGTTCGAGGAGAGTCAGTTCACATGCACAATAAGTGACGCAATCTCGCTCAACTCACTGTGCTGGGCAGCTGCAGGGAAGGAGGTCCCATTATCTAACCAATTACTCGGGAAAAGGACAGAGCCGATATACGAACGAATAGAACATGGTTTGTTGAGCATATGCCGTTGTATCATCGCGTGCAATTTCGTGTCGAGTGTGAGTCAAAATCAAGCAGGTGAACAGGCACCCCAAGGACGGAGCCAACCCACACCCTTGTCAACCCCATTGGAGGTGCTTTCTAGCGCAGTGTGCCCCCCATGAGCTATAGGCGCATTTGTGCATGATGGTGCAGCAGCAGAACAGCATACTGTAGCGCATAGTCAATGCTGGCTTCCCGCAGTCTGTCTCTCGGCCTGAGATCTGCTGGAGGTCTAGTGATAATGTGTAGTGTAGTATAGTGTAGTATTGTGTAGTACTTACGGACTGCAGTCACTGTGTCAGCAATGCAGAGTGGCATATCTTCAAGTGAGCGCAATTGCAGCTTACGCTTGGGAGCTTTAGGTGCAAACACACACAGTAGCTGGTATACCCAATTGGAGTCCAGGCGCAGGAGTGGCGGCATCGGCCAGCGTCTGGTCAAATTTGTGTTTTTTCTGTGTTCGGCCATGTCGCTTGAGTTCGCGATTGTGGGCTTGAAGTGCAGACCGACACTGCCAAAGGCGTGAGCGGAATGAAGATCTGGCCGACGGGTGCAGCTCACGAACCGTCTGTTTGAGCACTGGCCTGTGGTCAGGCTGGGTGTCTCGGGAGCGTGGCAGTGACACCCTGCCAGGCTTAATGGGCAATCAGCTGACGAGTCTGTGCGCTCAAAGCAGCAACGGATTGCTGAAAATGAGCAGCAAGTTGAGGATGTGTCGGCAGAGTGCTAGCACCCGGCGTCTGTTGATGGGATTCTGGCAGGTGCGTGTGGTCGATCGCTGCCTCATAGAGATGGTACCAATCTGCGGAATGTGGCGCATTCCTGTGTGTGGCACAAACGGTAACAGTTTTGGTGCCGTGCAGCCTGCCTGTCTGTTTGCCTCGCACGCATGATGGCGAAATCTATCTGGCTGTGACCACGTGTCCCGGCAGGCAAGCACGTGTGAGCTTTGGGGCCCCAACTGTTAAGGACAATCAAATCGAATCCAGGCTACGCAGCAGGTCCTGGGACATGGGCATGTCCGGTGCATGGCTGCCACAACGGTTACCAGGAATCCCTCCGTGTTAAAGGGTGTAAGGAGATCACCGCGAAAGGGCAACCTATAGCGTGCCGGCATACTGCTTGGCAGAGTTGTCAATTGTGTCCAAAACTCGGTTCTCTTGGCCAGCACAGCATGGCCGCGCTTGCTTTAGGGAGAGACCATGCAGGCATAGTCATACTGGTAGCCTACGGTCAGAATCTACGCTTGGGTTGGCCTCGAGGCGCACGTGTATGAGTCGTCCCAGTATGACTTCCCTAGACTGGATGGTGGGCTCAGAGAAGGCTTTTCTGTCTAGTAGCACAGGCAGACCTGCTTCAGCTTTAGAGGAGCCACTATGGATAGCGGTGCATCGATCCGTACGGTACTCGAATGGCCACGCCAGCGCATCAGCATCGTCCGCGAAGACGAGCGCCTGCTCATTGTCAATGTGGACGTGGGAGGAGCCAAGGTTGCCCTAGTCTCTGCACACTGCCCCCATGCAGCCAAGAAACAAGAAGCCGAGGCCTTTCTCGACATCCTGACCGGCTACCTACGCGACACCCTGCCGCTCGTGGTCATTGGGATTGACCCGAATGGCCGTATGCCCTGCCCTTTCGAGCAGGTCACCGGCGATCTTGCAGATGGCAACCCGGACAGCAATGGTCTCGGAGCTGCCAACATATGCAGCGACCACGGCCTCTGGGCCCCGTCTCCTGGCTTTTTCCGAAGCCAGGCATCGAGGGTTCGCCCTGTTCGGGGGAGACCTGAAACATAGCTTCCGGGGGTTCCTGGCGTGGATTGCCCCCCTACCCTCACGTCTGCAGATCCGCCCTGCCTGTGCAGTCTGCAGGAGAAGAAGAGCAGCCAGCAAGAATACATATCTTACCGGATTACAGGCCCTCGATCTGCTCTTGGACTTGGGACCACGGTGGCTGCATTGTTTATGTGGGTGGGCATGCTGTGCTTGGAGGAGCGGCTTGCAAAAGGAACGGCATACAAAGAAGTGAACAAGTCAAGAGCCAAACTGTACAACAAAAGGTTGATCACTCAGCAGGCCTGGTTGTCGTCGAAGTAGAATTGGATGTAAACGTTGTCGCCGGCGTCGTCTTGGAACGCGGCGCAGCACACCATTGAGGGGAGGCCACCTCTGGCACAATCTCCGCCGATTGGCCGCGTGGCGGTCACTGCCTCGTGGAAGAGGACGAGGGGCTGAGCCTTGATCCACTGATCCACTCCCTGCTGAAACCGACAGATTCACTGTTGGAATACAAGACGTTGCTCACTGGAAAGAAGGGGCCAGAGCAAGCGAAGCGCCATGAGGTAGAGGGCGTTGTCCGCCAACTCCGTGGAGGAGCTGGCCAGGAGAGCGGCGTCATCGGTGCCAGCTGTTTCATGCCAGCTGGTGTAGATAGCACGCTGCATGCGCTGAAGGGCCTGCGTCCTAGCCGGCAGCGTGGCATTCGCCAGTCCGTAGAGCCAACCGATGTCGTTGTTGGGCATGTCCTCTGCCAGTCTGCAGCGAATGGCTGCTACCATGTGCTCCAGGCTTCGTTGTCGATCCTCAGCCAGGAAGGCACTGACATTGCGCTGCAGGTCTCGAGAGGGATCTCTTCCATGGCGTTTTCGATGCTCGCGGAGTTGTGCCGCCCTGCTTGCTTCGGGGTGACGTGCTGCCGGAGATCACCCTCCACTTGTGTCCAGCAGATAAGCCTGACCAGTTCCTCAAGAGACTCGTTTGGCCAGGCACTCGTCTCGACAAGGGTCGCTGCGAACTGTGTCCTCGCAGACTCCGTCCATGTGGCTGGAGCAAATCGCTACTTCCAAGTACATCACTTTCATTCTGCGTCATAGGAACTCGAGCTGCTAGCAGCTACTGGTCGCAGCATGCACTTTGTTTGACCCGAAGGTCCCACACACAGGTGCAATAATGACTCTCCACGAAAGGTTCCAGATTCGCAGGAAAGAGGCTATCGCATGGATGTTAGGCCAGAGCAAAGACGCTTACGACAACAACTACCAGTAGCAGCAGAAATTGTATTTGTTGTACTACAACAAATACAATTTCTGCTGCTA